AAATAGTTAATCTTCCATTTCAGGACCAAAGGACCCTGGGACCATCAAAAAGGAAGATTATAAGTGGAACGTGGAATACTAACCAGAGAAGCAGCAACACCAGAGATGGAGGCATAGGAGATGGCATGGAGAGATAGAACAGCTGAGGACTCTAGACTCTGGAAAGAGAAAGGCTGTGTTCTGGCAGGCAGGAAGCAGGCTGGCAAAATGTACCTTTTGGCTGTCTAAAAGATTATATATTCCTGCATGTTTTTGTGTACACCAAAAGAGTCTTCCTGAGTTTACATTATAACACTAATAATCAGTTAAGGAAAGAGAAGATGACAGAGAGATGACTACTGCTGAAGATGATGTTAGAGAGGATGGACCTTATGCTAGAGTCAGGGTTTAATTCTGCTGAAGGAGAGGAGGGTTTACCACTGAGACAATCTTCTTGAAGCAGGCATCAAAGGAGGCTTGTATAGAGCTTTTCTGTTTCTCATGAGTGGCCTGTAGCAATTAAGACCCTCAGTAACTGTATGGTAAATTTTGGTGAGCTCCTCTGTATTAGAATTTTGCTTTACTAAGTTTGCCATTTTGCGTCAATGAGATGAAAGGCTTCAGCTAACTTTTCAAAAACGTTTTCATTTCTGGGTGTTTTTAGGTTCCAGAATTTCTTATAAGTTATCATCTACTGTTTTAGTTCCATAAGGTTTTCATTAGTTAGTTCTTTGTCATGGAGTCAAGTAATAACTCTAGAACACCATTTTCACTGATTTTTAACCAATATCAACCACAGCTTGTCTAGCTTAAAAGATGTTGTCAGCTATAATCCCCTCAAGAACATGTATGAAGTAGGGGGAACAGTTTGTTCCACACTCATTCATATTTAGCTGCTTCACTTCATCCCAAGAATCAACAACAGTTTTGATGGTATTGTAGAAGTCATAATTCATCCAGAACTCATCACATCATCCTTGGTAGCCCTCACTGCTCGTGAGGATGTCCACCATAGATCAAAGGTCTTAAGGGATATTATGACTCCCTGATCCACTGGATAAAGTATCAATTTGTTGTTGGAAAGTGAAAATACAACCTTTACAACATTAAGGTAAAAGTCATCTAAAGTGCTTGAATATCCTTAAGTGTTGTCAAGCACAGGGAGAAAGGATTTTTTTGGCCAAGAGATAATATTCAACAGCAGGAACAAAATTATTTAAGAAACAATCTTCAAAGATGGCAGTTATAAGCCAACTTTTTGTATAAGCCTTCCAGATAAAGGATAAACATGCCTCAATGATACAGTAAAGTACCCTCAGATTTAAGGTGTGATACTAGACTGCTAATCACAAGGTCAGTGGTTAAAACTCACCAGCCGCTCCTCAGTAACCCTATAAGGGTCGCTATGAGTCAGAACCGAATCAATGGTATTTAACAATAATAACAACAATCCTTTGATACCTTATATCCTGGTGATTTTTTTCCCCTCTTTCAAATGTTAGGTCTTAAAACAGAAGGAATAGAACTAAATATTGTTAAATGATGATACATGGAAGAGATTGCAATCATTGCAATGAAACAAAATACAATAGGATGTATTTACATGTTCTCCCATGTAAACTATCACTCAATTAACAATAAAAGCTTTAAAAAAAAAAAAAAAAGTTAGGTCTTTTCAAGCATATTTTTCCAAAATAAGCTAGTCTTGCCTGCGTGTAGTAAATATTTGGTCTGGCAAACAATCTCCCTTCTCAATATCTTTTTTCCAACATTTCAAGAAAATCACTTGAAGTACTTAAATGGGCATGCTTCATCTTCCACTTTAATGTTATAGAAATTTGTCCTAATTTTGAAATGACTAAATCAACTCCTTCTCTGAACAAATTCTTCAACATAATCAACCTTCATTTGCTGTGTTTGCAATTTTTAAATCACTGAAAAAGCTTCAGCCTTTTCTTGCACTAAAATAAAGTTTACAAGTATATCATATTGATTTTTATCATCTAGCCAAATTATTTTTCATTTCAGTAACTAAACCACTGCATAGTTTAGCAATAATTGTAGCTTTCATTGGGGTAGAGCCTTTTCATATGTTTCATTATACTAACTTTATACTGTAATGTTGTTCTGATCGTTGACAGCCTAAAGCCTAACACTTTTCCAATGAACAAAGACGTTTCACTTCTTTCTGACTGCTTTATCATTTCTGATCATGGCCATTTTTATTTTCTTTGATGTATCACTACCACTTGGATCAGATAATACACTTTGAAGGCATGGATGCAAGGGTAAATGAAAGGAAAGTTTAAGCCAAATATACAGTTACACTTTCAACAATATTAACAGCAATGTGATCTGACTTAAAACGGCAGATGGTGTTCTCCTTCCTCAAGCCGACAAACTGCTGAAGTTGTGCAATATTTTCTTGAGCATCACAAAGTAGCACAAGCATTCATTATTATGAATCATTGTATTTAACTAAAATTTTTAATAAAATAAGCTTTATGGCAGTCCGTTCTTAAGTATGAGTTGTAGAGCTATCCGTTTGACATTCTTAACCGAGGGACTTACAATAGATAGATATAGATCTATGTACATAGATGTATACACTAGAGGACTTTTTAATAGAAAAAAATCATTATATTTTAATTTTACTTTCCCACAAGCTTTCTGAAGCCCCTTCATTTATTGTTGTTAGATGCTAGCAAGTTGGTTTTCACCCATGGCAATCCTAAGTACAACAGAAGGAAATACCACCGTCTTGTACCATCCTCACAATTGCTGCTATGCTTGAGCCCACTGTTGCCGCCACTGTGCCAATCCATCTTGTTGGGGGTCTCCATCTTTTTTGCTGATCCCTCCACTTTACCAAGATTATGTCCTTCTCCAGGGACTGCTCCCTCCTGATAATATGTCCAAAATATATGAGATAAAGTCTGGCCATCTTGGCTTCTAAGGAGCATTCTGGTTGTACTTTTTCCATGCACACACATACATATGTATATAATACTTTTTCCTATACAAAAGAGTGTTATGCTTATAGAATAAAATGTTTTTGTCTTCTCAATTATTAATCCACAAAAGTAACAAAACTAAGATAGAAATATGTTTTAATCAATTCGGGAGAGCATTAATAATAAATCTTTGGGGAACTTTATGGAAATTGTCACTGAACCTATTAGAATTGTTGTTGTTGTTGCTAAGTGCCGTCAAGTTGGTTCTGACCCATAGCGACCCTGTATAGGGTTTCCGAGGAGCCACTGGTGAGCTTGAACTGCTAACCTTGCAGTTCAAACAGTTTGTAGTCTGGCACATTAACCCACAGCAGCACGTCAGGACTCCCTATTAGAATTAGGGAGAGGTAAAAAGGATTAAAGAATGGCCCCAGACAACTCAAGTTGTTACTGTTTTGTGCAAGTTTTCTAATTTTAGAAACTTGGTTCCTCTTGATACCAGTAGCCAAAGGAGAAGAACAGGAGGTGTTTTGTTTTTATCTCCTTCCCATCTCCTCTTGGTAATATACTTCATCTCAAAAAAATTTTGAAGGCAACTATGAATGTTGTCAGATTTGATGAATTTTCAAGGTTACCATTACCTTAATTTCTTTTTTTAAAACTGTGATTTGGTTGAAACTTCACAAAGAAAATTATTTTCCATTCAACAAATATGCATATTTTGTTTCTTAACAGTAGTTACTATTTCTTCAATGTAGCAGCACTCTTCCTGCTTCCTCTTCGAGTTCCATTTCCATTCATCCTTCTTGCCTGACCCTTTCTACCTTCAGAGTTTTGTCTTTCAGCAAAGGCTGCCTTACTGGTCTCATATGATTGATAACTCTGAGGAGTACATTACTCATATGTGTTTTGTTCACTTTAAAGGCCTGTCTAGTGTTTGACTGCAAGGTGATCCCTGGTGGTGGGTTCAGTTCCAGGTTTGAAGGGTGTCTATGGGTCACAGTGTTTGGTGTTCCACCTGTCTCTACCAGACTAGTAATTCTTGTGTTGCTTATTATTTTGAATTTTGTTCTACATTTTTCTCTCATTTATTCCATAATCCAACTAAAGTAGTTGATTGTGATAACCAGGCATCCTCGAGTTCTTCTGATCTCAGGGTAGTAGAGGCTATGGTTCATGTGATCATTAGTTCTTTGGACTAATGGTTTTCTTGAGTCTTTCATTTTCTTCACTTTATTTCCTCCAGACAAGGAGAGACCAACAGTTGCATCTTAGCTTTTAAGATCCCAGTCACTACTTACCACAGTAGGTATAAAATATTATCTTTGTAAACTGTGTTATGCCAACGGACATCAGTAGCTGTTTCTCTGAAACTAACTTGAAAATTTTTGTTCTTGCATCTCACAACCCTAAATGTTCTAACATCAGGGATTATTGATGATAAGAAGTGGACTCACAAATCTTGTTATTATTGTTGTTGTTGTTAAAGTCCCATAGAGTTGGTTGCAATTCACAGTAACCCTGTATAGAGTTTCCAAGGCTGTAAATCTTTGTGGGAGCAGAAAACTCTTATCTCTCTCCTAAGATGGGCTCCAACTGTTAACTTTGTGGTTCACAGTCCAGTGTTTATTCTACAGAACCACCACACTCCCCTAAGGGATTACAGGATGAATTGAAATGTATTCAATTCTTCAGTAAGCACTCGCTGAGCTTTATGTACCAAGCTCTGGACTAGAGGCTTGTGTTCTCTACAGCATAATTAACAATAACAAAGGAAAACTTTAATAAATCATACTGACAACAATGCCGTTCCTTCTCTTGCTCTGTCTCCCTCTCTGAATGGTAGTTTAATCAGAGTACATTGCTATTGGCAATAGTGTCTTCCTATAAGGCCACTCACCTCTTAGGATTTTCCCCAGTAATACCACAGTGGTTACATGCAGAAGGTGATATGCAAATTTATTAACTTAAAAAAAGAAAACAAGGGAACACAAACTCAAGCTGAAAATGTTCTGTCTGTAATTGTATGTCAAATAGGTGAACTGGATCATTTTCATGAGTTCTTACCGTTTCAGGGTCATTTTCAAAGATCTCCCTGGCTTCTTCTCTGCTGCACAGTTCCTCAATGCATTCCCTTTCAAGATTGCCCTGTTTTGTTTCTTCAAATGCAGAGTTTGCACGGCGTTTCCTAACCAGGACTTGTGAAGCATGTTCCTTTGATAAAACTGAATGAAGAAAAAAAGTATGTTTACATGAATATATATTTTATTTCTCCAGTCTAAAATAAATTATTTTATTAAACAATTAAAACAATTATTAAACAATTAAAAATTATTTTAATTATTTATTAAACAATTAAAATTATTTAATTATTTATTAAACAATTAAAACTTATTTTATTAAACATTTCCTGCCTATGAATTGTTTAACATTTAAAACCAGCATGCTTGAATTTAGAAAAATGTACATACATAGTTACAACTCAGAGAACAATCTTGGTGTGCAACTAAAACATGTGGATAATGATCCACACATACTATAAAGTTCATGCTTGAGGTCAAACATCCAAATGATAGTCAATGTTCATCTCATTTTCATTACATTGAAAAACTCATCAAGCACTTAACAACTGTGCCACCAGGGCTCCTCTGCAAGAATGGTTATATCAAAATCATCATTACACAATTTTTAAAGCTTGAGTAATAAATTTTCTTAACTTTCATGGGAAACATGTAATTTTATGGCAATAAAAAACAGGAGTATAGTTCAATCAGCTATTTGAGAGATACTAGATTAGCATCCAGCACTATAGGATCAGCACTGGACAAACAAAATCAGTAGTTCAAACCCACCAGCTACTCCTTGGAAACCCTATACAGAGTCACTATGAGTAGGAACTGATTTGACAGCACTTAACAACAACAATAACAAGCATGGAGACCTGGTGTGCCTCTGTAAGATAAACACAGGATTGCTAACCTTAAGGCTGGTGATTGATTCAACCCTACCAACTGCTCCTGGGAAACCCTATATAGGGTCGCTATGAGTGGAACCATAACAACAACAGAAGGGCAAAACCCTTAATTTTTCATATAAGCAGAAAAGTTATTATTCACTGAGAAAGGCAGATCTTCTTATACAAGGCACATATTCAGGAGGCAAAGGAAAAAGATTTGTAACTTTGACTACCTAAAATATTAAACAGTTGGACAACAAAGAAAATTAATATAAAAATGTCAACATAAGGCAACAGATTGAAAGGCTATATTTGCATCACACTGAATTGTAAAAATATAAAAGAATACAGCCAGAATTTACAAGCAACTTTTGCAAATTAAGAGAAAAAAGAAGAAAACAATAAACCAAGAATACAGGAATGCTTGAGGTCTTAGTGTAAGATAGAAAATCTAGTCCCAAATGAGGTTATAACCACAGATAGAGGGGCTAGAAATTATAACACATATTTTTGGGGGGGACACAATTATATCCATAACATTCCACCTTTTGACCTCCGAAAATCTATGTCCCTGCCATATACAAGGAGTCCTGGTGTGGCGCTGTGGGCAGAACCATTTGACTCCAAAGTTGATGCGAACCACAAGGTTGGTGGTTCATACTTCCAGCTGCTCCTTGGAGACCCTATCCAGGGTTGCTCAGAGTTAGATCGACTCTTCAGCACTAATCACCAAAAATCTGCATATAGAACATCACCCTAGGGGCAAAACTCCTCTTTGTCTGTGAACCATGAAATCGAGATATAAATTATTACTTCCAAATTTGTTGTCGTTGTTAAGTGACATCGAGTCGGTTTCAACCCATGGTAAAAGAGGCACAAAAGAGACATTCCTGTTACAGATGGAAGAAATTGAAGGAAAAGAATAATGGGTACTAAGCAAGTATGAAGACCCAACAGAACAATTTATATTAGCTCTCAACGGACCACGGAGCGGCGGGGTGAGAGGTGTCTGGGGGGGGGGGGGGGGACGCGGCCTAGAGGGAAGAGACTGCAGCTGCCAGCCAGGCTGGACGCGAGTTCCACCTCTTGACTGACATGAGCCAGACTTAAGGGCCTTAACACAAGGAGATTCATGTTTAACAGCGACCACACAACTGCCACTCTTCTGTCTGTCGTGCTGTGCTGGTTTGAA